ATAGTTGTCACTTAATTCACACTTCTTCTCCGTTTATTACTACTACTCTTATTACTACTACTATTACTATTACTACTACTACTACTACCACTATTACTACTACTGATATTAATAATAATAATAATAATAACTGTCTGTCGTTTCCCACTTCCTCTATTCCTTCTTCTTACGTCTTCTTTCATTTCACAACCATGGTAACATACATAATGCACACGTATATTACTTACGAATGTGTATATGTTTATCTAATGTTCTTCTGTAAAAGGTAGTTGATACATTTTAGTAGAAAAGTACAGCTAATTTCTTATTTCCTTGATTAGATGATTGAAAATAATTTGTGTCAAAAATTAATTAGTCAATAATTTAATGTTTCTCATAGATTATTACCGTCGTTTTATTTTATTTCTTTAAAAAAAGGGGGGGAATTCTTCTCTCTCACTCTCTCTCTCTCTCAGTTGTCCATTTGATGATTGTTATGGTAAAGTGTTCACATTTATGATAAATTACAATTTTTTTCGTTTATATAGTGAAATGAATAACAATCAGTGTTCATTACTATTTGTCATATATTCATCTTTAATGCGATACACAAACACATACACATACATGCATGCACATATACAAATGACAGTCATCTTATTCCTTCTTCTTCTTCTTCTTCTTCTTCTTCTTTACACTTGTCATAGTTATTATTATGATTATTATTTACACAGTATGTAGACATGACAACAACAAATGTTGGTAGTACTGGCCGTGGTAGTGATAATCAATTTAGATTCTTTCAAACATGCTGATTAGAAAAATAAATATAAAAAAACACTTTTTTGGTGTTGTTTGTGAGGTGGATTTTAAAAAAAAGTGTTATTTTAAAAAGTAAGATGCCTTATGAATTGAATTTAAGGAGAGAGATGTTGACAATTAGGAAGGTCTCTTATTGGCATATGTACATACTGTGCGTATTGACTCGATATTGCCTTAATTCACAAGCTTTATGAGCAAAAATCGATGTTGGCTAATAGTGGAATACATGACGCGTCTCTCATCCTATTCGGGACTCGTCATCTGGATAAACCTACATCTCAAAGTTGGTGTTCACTCTGGGACTCGAACGTAATACCGTTCACTTCAAACACCATCGCGTTATCCACTCAGCTACTGATATGATTCACATTTCACACTATTATTGTACACACAAATTACATTCAATCCTTTATCATTACAAAAATTATAGTTTTTCATCTTTAACCATACATACATGCACACACACACACACTTAGTTTCTATTTTGTAATGTGGTATATTTCAGTGTAAATATCACACATATTCACCTGTCATTTAAAGAACTGATATAAACACCTTTCAATATTCAATCAATTAATGTTTTTCTTTCTTTTTTTTTCTTGTTGCCTATTACGATTATTGTGTAAATATGCTTAGAAAAAAAAAGAAAATTTTTTTGTCATTTTCTTAATTTTTTCATTTTTAACATTTTGTAAAATATTAATGACAGACAATGACATTTTCTCTTTCTTTCCTTCTTATATAAAACAAAACACTTTGACTTAAAGTTATCACTTAGGAAACAATTTTCATGTTGAAAACGTTCAATTTATGAGAGATTTAAAAAAAATATTTGACACATTTCTTCGTTTTCTTTTTTTTTTTTTGTTTGTCAACCAAAAAAAAAATTGAAAAAATTAATTATCAGCAAAGATGGATAGTGGCTAGCAGTGGTATCCAGGTTGCGTGTTTCGTCTTATTTGAGACTCTTCGACTGAAGGTACTTGCATCCCAGAGTTAAGGCTAACGGTATTGGATATGAGTCCCGTAGTGAACATCAACTAAGATGACATTAAATTCAGCCAAATAAGATGAGACGCACGTCAAACTGGATTCCACTGCTAGTCACTATCCATCTTTGCTTATAATGCTTATGAATTAATGCTATATCGAGGTAATACACACAATATGCACATATGGCCAATAAGAGACTGATCAATTACAGTCCTAAACATTAATGGGAAGATTCACATTTATATAAACGTTATAGATAAATCAAAATGGAATATTTTATTAAAATAAACTAACATTAGAAGCAACGATGGATGTTAGCTAGCAGTGAAGTCAAGTACGCGCGTTTCGTCCTATTTGGGACTCGTCAGCTGTATGTACCTGTATCTGAGTTGATGTTCACTCTGGAACTCGAACCCAGTACCTTTCACTTCAAACACCATCGTGTTATCCACTCAGCTACTGAGTCGTGATATATATATATATATATATATATATATATCGTTAGTTAGGTTTTGTTTGATTTGGTGATTAATTTAACATGAACTAATATTGTAGTGAACGAGAACATAAGTGGAGGCAATCGAATGTATTTCAACACAAAATTATGGGATCTCTTGGTAAAATCTGAGGATCATATAGTAAATACTTCATTTGCAAAATATCAATCAATTGTCTCAGACTTCATTGTTCTATTGTTTTCATACCAATTATTCTTTGTTTTCGTGCTGTTTTCTTTGATATTTTTAACCTTCTACCTTCAAACATTTCAATATCGAATGATGATACATACTACTTATATCTTATATAATTGAAATTATGAGTCAATTGAAGCTAGACCACCATGTAAAATCTGAAAGCACTGGACGGCCGTCTCCAAGGTGGTCTAGCTTCAAGTGATTCATGATTTCAACTATATAAGATCTTTTATATATTTTGTAAGTATTATCCATTAGACGTTTGTTAACTTCCGGTCGTAAAAAGTGTGTAAAATTGCAAACCAAGTACAATTTTAAGTTCTACTCACAATCAATGTTTCATATTTATACAATAGTTAAAATATTTTCGTCGATTGTGATGTTTGATGAACATCGTTTTGGAAAGAAAGTTTTCAATAGTACAGTTATTCATCATTTTCTCGACAGTAAATATAATATTAATGCCTCGAAATTCATCCATGAATAACTAATCAACAAAGAACTTCAAATTTATTACGTTTGGTGGAAGCTATTGAAAGTACAAAAGTTTAAACCGAATTCATGTATTCAAAGGGTATAGTTGCCTTTGTGACTTAGTTTTCATGAGTTGGTTATGTAAGTTTTTTTAGATGACCTTAGTTACAATTTCTAATACCATATTTCTTACTTCTGAGAGTTATTCAACTAATCTAGATTTTTTTAAGTGTTATGTCATCTTTCGTATAGATCAGAAGGGGCTTTTTGGATATTGTAGTAATTTTAATAGTTGAAATCATGAGTCAATTAAAGCTAGACAACCATGGTAAACCTGGAAGCACTGGATGGCCGTCTCCAAGGTGGTCTAGCTTCAATTGACTCATGATTTCAACTATTTCGTATAGATCTTTGATTTCTATACCCTTCTTTGTTTTCTTTTATAGAGTATTTATATATTTAACCTCTAACTGTGCAAACATTTAAATAATCATAGTTGAAAGTGTGAGTCAATTGAAGCTAGACCACCATGGAAAACCTGGAAACACTGGACGGTCGTTTCGTCCTATTATGGGACTCTTCCAGGTTTTCCATGGTGGTCTATCTTCAATTGACTCACGCTTTCAACTATGATAAATACTAAATCTCTACAAAACCCCTTCTATAATTTAAATAATCTTCTAATTCGTTCATAATTATTGTTTCTTACTATTCTATACTTTGACATCTCAAACTAAATCTTATTCAGGTCCTTTCTGATGAAATGTATGTAAAATCAGCTAGTATCTATGATTGGCACTATTATTTCTAGATTGTATACAGCTAAGGTGAATTCATGAATGAGGAGTCCCAGTGTGGTGTGGTCTACTTATGTCCATATAAGTAGTATATGGTGTGGGTCAGACATATAATGTATTTTCGCAGAAGACCGATGAGGAAAGAACTGAAATGAAGCGCAATCGTTTGGAAAATGCATGAGCAATGGAATAAGAGAAGAAACAGTGAAAATTGAAACAATTGGTTGTTAATTTGCAAATTGACTGTTCATTGTTTGGTAATCAGAATTTACTGAGATAGTTTGTAATCTTTGCTTAAATACATTCGATTGTCCCCCAGTCGTGTTCTGTTCACTACACCATAATAGGACGAAACAGTGGTTCAGTGCTTCCAGTTCTTCCATGGTGATCTAGCTTCAATTGACTCATGATTTCAACGACGAAAAATACTGAAATCTCTATAAAACCCCCTCTGAATTCATATTATTCAGCTAAAATCTTTATGCTTTCTTTATCTAGTTTTTTTTTTCGAAAAACCAACGATTTTTACGATTTTCACACTACTATTATTCACCATAGTAACATATAGACACACATAGTAGGTAGAATGATAAGTCAAAGACTAAAAGTGAGAAAACAATAATCTTATTCATGTAAACACATAGTTATATATTTATTTATTTACGTAGGTACGGTTAAGTAATTTATTTACTTGACAACTTGCTTATTTACTTTCTCCATTACGGTAGTCATTTGTCAAAGATCAAAATTATGTCTTATACTAATTATTTATTTTTTTCAAACACCCCTGTATAGGTCTACTCTCATTCAACAATATCATCCCTTTCTCTTGTTAAGAAAGGGTAATTGTAATAAAATATACTGTGAAAACGTGATTCTTAAACTTAATTTAGTTGCTAATATCAATTTGAATGTCTATTTATCAATACAATAAAACATGAATTGACCTATAAACAAATTGTCGTTGGTATTAATGTTGACATACATATAAAATAATAAAGCAGAATGATCATTTTAATAAATGGGAAATAGATAAAAAAAAAATGTATCCCCCCATGCATACAAACAAACAAGCAAACACACATACATACGTACATAGTTGCATACGGACATACATACAAACATATACACGTTACACGGAGTACATTTTACATAATTCAATTCACACTTTATAAGCAAAATAGTTTATTAACGAATTGATGAATAAAATTAATTATATTACCATGGTATCTATGGTTGGTTAGTAGTTTTTTTTATTACTATTAAAATAATTATCACCTTGTCTTTTGAGAAGAAAAAAAAGTAGATCTGATGACAATATCATGGTAATAATGATGGGAATGATGGTGGAAGTAGTAGTAGTAGTAGTAGTAGTAGTAGTAGTAGTAGTAGTAGTAGTAGTAGTAGTAGTAGTAGTAGTAGTAGTGAAGTGTCCCTGTGTTTCTATATGATCCAATTCGAATCGAATAGTAACTGAGACAAAATACATGGTTAAATAATTAGTTTTTTTTCTCCATTTATTCATACAACTTCTATTATTGTTAAAATTAAGTTTTCATATTGTTGTTGTTGTTTTTGTTTTTTGCGGTACTATTACTATTTGCCAACAAAAAAAACATTGTACAAGAATAATGAATCAGATTTATGTGTTGAAAGTGTATGTTCAATGTTAAATATAATCTGTGTGTGTTTTTTTGGGGGGGTGGGGGGGTTGAAACGATCATTTTGTGTTAAACAAATACATAACAACTTACAAATTACATGGAATAATAATAACAATAGTAATAATTATTATTAATATTATTAGTATCTTACAACTTGAAAATTTTAATGTCTATTCCAGCGATAATCATAAGAAGACACAAATGAAAACTGAACATTTTTGGTTGTTAACTGGAGATAGTCATTTTTAATGAAGTTTCATTTCCTGTCTCTTGTTTTAACCCTCACCGTTAGATAAATACAGTTAAAAAACAGGCGTTGAACCATTTAGAACTTGAAAGCATTAGAGAACTGTTTCACTTTATTTTTATTGAGAAGCTATAATGTCAATCAAGTTAAGTGTTAATTAATCAATGATGAATGACAATGAATAAGGATCACATTATCTAACGAAATACATCAGAAATTTAAACGATTGTCTGTTGAATTTTGAAGTAATGATATTATTAATTTCAGCGAGCAAATTACACAAAATTTTGTCAGAAAGGGTTTTGTGGAGATTTTAGTAATTTTATAGAGTTGAGATCATGAGTCAATTGAAGCTAGACCATCATGGAAAACCTGGAAGCACTGGATGGCCGTTTCGTTCTATTATGGGATTCATCAGCAGTGCGCATCCACGATCGCGCTTCGCAAGATTCGAAACGACTGTCCAGTGCTTTCAGGTTTTCCATGGTGGTCTAGCTTTAATTAACTCAAGATCTCAACTATATAAAATTACTAAAATCTCCACAAAACCTCCTTTCTGATAATGATCATGTGCTCCATAAGGTATTTCCTGGAGTTCTAGTGGGAAACCTAACCCTAACCAGTGGAGTTCAACCAGGTCTGTTGGGAGATATCAACTCGCTGATGAAATTGGTAAATAGTTGCTCAATTTCGTAGATTGGTTGAAGTTAGACGTTAACACCGTTGGATGCCAGCTCAGTGGTCTATCGGTTAAGGGTTCTGGGTTCGAATATCGAGAGGCGGGATTGTGGATGCGCACTGCTGAGGAGTCCCATGATAGAACGAAACGGCCTTGTAGTGCTTCCAGGTTTTCCCTGGTAGTCTAGCTTCAATTGACTCATGATCTCAACTCTACAAATTTTGTGTTTAAATTTTCTATCTATTTCATTAGATAGTGCGATCTTTATTCATTGTCATTGATCGTTAATTAATTAACAGTTAACTTGATTGATATTATGACTTATCAACAAAAATGAAGTGAAATAGTTCTCCAATGTCTTTAAGTTTTAGATGGTTCAACAAATTCGCTATAACTGAATAATTGGACATGTTTTCCACAGGATCTGGATTGATTATTGCAATCTAACAGTCTATTTAACTTTCTCGATCATAATCTATAACCAAGTGTATTGATGTTCCAAAGAACTTTCTTTGTTTACATTGTATTATAAAAAATCAACTACATATAATAGCTGTGTAATGCAAACAACAAAAAAATTCTAAAAACAAACCTTTAAAGGCTTCTAAAAGTGTAAAATCCTTAAAGAAATATAATAGTGGTTGGTATATTTTCTACATTGTCTGTTCCTTATAAAAATTGAAAGCATCTGGTCCAAGACTCATGGATATATAATTAAAATATGGAATGAATTAACGAATAAGTTGCTTTGTCTTTGGTAAAGACTATCATAAGTGTACGAGATTTTTGTGAACTGTTCATCATGAGACCTGAAAGTCTTGCCTTTGGCTTGTAGTTTGATTTTGAAACAAAACCGCTGAGAAACCCCCCAATGAAATGAAACATTTATTTATTACTTTGTGGTATAAATTCAATCCGTGATGAAAAATACAAAATATTTTCTAGTGACGTTGTGACAATTGTTGAATTTCATTTAAATCATGAACCGATTCAAGTTAGACAACTATTGAAAATGTGGGAGCACTGGAAGGTTGATTCGTTCTAGCGTGGAACTCCTTAGCAGTGCTCATCTACGACCCCACAAGCGGAAAACTAACTCAGGACCTTCAGTATCACGTGTGAACACTTAACATATAGATCACCGAATCGACATTCAAGAGTGTTAATCCGTAACTTCAATCAATCCACAACACTGTATGATTTTGTTTCATTGTTTTCGGTGGGTAACAAAATATTTGAAAATATTTCCAACTTCAAAGTGTTTTTCAACATGTATTAACTATTAGATAGGGTAATAGTCGGAAATATTATTTAATATGTTTGTTCCATTTTGCTAGTAAATAGTTAATCAAATATATATGTTAGGTATTTGGAGGTAATGAATCTTTGCTTAATATATTCAACATGACTTATCTACAGCATTCAGGGAATTAGCACTGCTTGTTACTGTCTCACAATAGATTTGGTTGAACATTATTTAATGAATAAATTAATTTAGAAGAGAATTGTCAGAAAGGGGGGTTTTGTGAAGATTTTATTAATTGTAATAGTTGAATTTATTAATCAATTGAAGCGAGATCCCCATGAAAAGCTTAAAAGTATTAGAAGGTCGTCTCGTCTTAGCATGGGACCCCCCAGCAGTGTGCATCCATGATCCCATCTCGCGGGACTTGAAACCAGGACCATCGATCTCTCGTGTGAATGGTTAATTTCTAGACCATTGAGATGGCAGATGTTCAACTCTGTTAATATCTAACTTCAATCAATCCACAAAATCATTCCACTATTCACTATTGTCTTCAGTGAGTTACTATCTCACAATAGATTTGGTTGAACCAAAAGGTCCTGAGTTTGAATTTCATGAAGTGGGATCGTGAATGCTCTTTTCTGTGGACTCCCATACTAGAATGAAACAGCCAGATTTTCAGTGATGGTGTAACATTCATCCATTTATGATCTCAATCAAGAAATTTAAGGTGAAAATTTAAGGTTTTCTTAGATTTTACTATTTTCATTTGAGAACGTTTCGTTTTCTCTTTTACAAATGAATAAAACTTTACTCTCACACACACATAAATGTGATAAGAAAGAGAAAACTTTGTTTGATAAAAGTATTGAATGAGACTATAATTTATGGATGAACTAATCAGCTATAATCACAAATGGGTTTTGTGGAGATTTTAGTAATTTTATATAGTTAATATCATGAATCAATTGAAGCTAGACTATCCACATCAGGTAGAGACAGGTATCTCCCTCAGTACAATAGAAGTCTATCGCGTGATTTCGTGGATTGATTGAGGTTAGACATTAACACCACTGGATGCCGGCTCAGTGGTCTGTCGGTTAAGTGCTCTGGTAGGTCCTGGGTTCGAATCTCGCTCGCGAGGCGGGATCGTGGATGTTCACTGCTGAGGAGTCCCATGATAGGACGAAACGGCCGTCCAGTGATTCCAGGTTTTCCATGGTGTTAAATATATATATATATATATATATATATATATATATTCACCCTTAACAGTGTATATGCATATATATGTTAGGTATTTGGAAGTGACCATGATGAACCTTTACTTAATATATTCAATATGACCTATCTACAGCGTTCAGGGAATTAGGACTGATCCTAGACTTATATACTCCGCATATTTTATCTATACTTTCATAGGTCAATATTATTATCCATCAGTTTGAATCAAAATTAATGATTTGAGATATGAAGTTAACACTTATCAGCCTCAAAAAAGGGATACTAAGAACGATTAGTCATCAAATTATTGCATTAATGATGGATAGTGGCTGGCAGTAGAATCCAGGACGCACGTTTCATCCTATTTCGGACTTCTCAGCTGGATATACCTGGATCTAATAGTTGATGTTCACTCCGGGACTCGAACCCAGTACCGTTGGCGTCGAATATCTATCACAATGGGTACTACTGGTTGTTCAATTCCCATGTAAACAATTCATTACTATAAAAACAGTAATGATACTTACGATTGAGATATTTGGTTTAATTTAACTACTACTACTACAACATCCATCATCTTAATGATCACAAACGTGCATTATTGAAACAACTTGAGTTCAAGGTTTTTGTGACACATTACCCCTCAACAATAAGTCACTGATAAACACGTAATATATGCTAGTATGAATTTAGGTTTTGGTCAAACTATCATGGGACTTTTTTTCAATCATTCACTTGAGTTATTATTACTGTTATTATTATTATTATAACAGGACTACATTTTAATTATCCTAATCTAAACACATACACAATCATTTCATTTCCATATCACATTCTGCAATATTTAAAGACTATTTCAGTGAATTCCAAATTTTGTTTATATAATCATTAATGATTTTAATAATAATCAGAAGAAACAAAATGATTGATTGATTGTATGAATGAATATCCATCTGTTTGTACTTTTATACAGGTACATTCACTTGAACACATAACTTGTAACCATGCTTCCCTTATAAAAGACGGTAACGTGTGTGTGTGTGTGTGTATATATATATATGAGGGTATGTGCTCATGTATATATGTAACATCTGATCAAACTATTATAAATCGCATATGGTCATATACAATAAAATGTGTAATACACAACTACATTGCACATTTATTCATCAAAATATTTTTTAATATGCTTATATAATACTACTACTACTACTACTACTACTATTACTACTACTACTAGTAATAATAATAATAATGATAATAATAATAATATTTACTTGAATGTAACATGTCCTTTTTAAAATTACGGTTTCTAATTACATGAAATAGATTATCCTAATCAACACATGTATAAAGTAAGATCGTAAAGCATACATCTATCATAATTAACACTATTATTATTATTATTCCCCTAAGAATACACAATTACATGTTATGAACGTGTCTCTGATTGAGTTATTGCATT